TATTCTTAGTATGTGAAGGATCACGCATAGGTTTTGTTATACGTTTTCTCCTCCTTCCCAATTTGTTAATGTGGGTTGCATGTGCTTGCTATGTGTTATGTGTGCATGATATCCCAATTCGGTTGCGATCGGATTGGTTATTCCTGAGCTGCGGTTCAGAAGCTAGCTGCGGTCAGATTTACACTCTTGGGCTGCGGTCCACCGTTTGGTTGTGATCAAATGTTTCTACATGAGCTGCGGTTCATATTTCCTGGATGCGGTCAGATGACATACTCTTGGGCTGCGGTCCACTGTTTGGTTGCGATCAAACTATGATGAGCTGCGGTTCATCGGTCGGTTGCGATCGACCCCTCCGTGTTGCGATACGGGGCAGGGTGCTGCGGGGCCGTGTCAGAGCTATATGCGCTGACCCTCATATATGGGCATGCGATTGGTCTTGTGGCGCCAACAAAGTGTGCTATGTGATGAGATATGGATGAGTTGTTGTTATGAGTGTCTTGGGGATGTTACTATGGGATTTATACTGGGAATCGTATATGTTGGGTTATGATTATTAATTGTGCTTATCTTTACCTGTCTTGCCTATTTGTAAACTGTATATGCTTGGTATAACTGTTGTTTGTGCTTAGCTCTATCTGTCGAGTCTATCCATATTTTAAAAGCTAGACTCTCGTAGGATATATCCTCATGCTTCAAAATGGTTTTCGTATATCTATATACATGTCTATATGTATTGTATTTCAACGCGTTGGAGTGGGTTACCAGCATCTCTCGCTGAACAGATATATTTGGCTTTCAGGCACAGACGAGTAGTTCACTGGAGCGCGCTAGAAGCTTGGGGCGTAGCTTAGATAGTTTTCCCTTTCGGCCTGCGTGCCATGATTTAGTATTGATACTAACTGAGGTTTTAGAATTTAGCCTGTGCACCTGAGTTCTCTAGCTCGGGTGTGGCATAGCACCCCGTACTCTTGTATCGTATTTTGGGATTTAATGAGATTCTATCTTTATTATATAAGTTTTAAAAGTTTTGAAAATCTGGGGTGTTACAATTATGATCATACTTCTCATGCAATCTAATGTAATAATATATTCATACTCATGTGCATTCTAGTGCAACAATATAATCATAATCTTATGCAATTTATTGCAATAATATACTCATACTCATATGCAATCTCGTGCAACGATATAATCATACTCACTCATATGCAATCTAGTGCAACAATATACTCATACTCATATGCAATCTAGTGCAACTATATAATCATACTCATATGCAATCTAGTGCAACAATATAATCATACTCATATGCAATCTAGTGCAACAATATACTCATACACTCTTTTATAAATTAGAGTACTTTCTGTGGAGGTCTCTTCATTCCATTCTCGAGTCTCTCTTGACTCTCTTTCTTTCTCCCGAGTCTTTATTGACTCTCTTTCTTGAGTCTCTGTTGACTCTCTTTCTTTCTCTTATACTCGTAGACGGCTTAGGGTTTCACAGAAGTGTGAATTACCCCATCGGGAACGGGATAATTCCGACCCAATATCTCCTACTGTCTACGGAACCAATCTCGTGGTTCAAACTCTGTGGAATCAGGTATCGAACTATTAGTGTGCACACCTCCTACAAGGATTCCAAGCCTGGCGAGAAGTTTCCAACCTCGTAACGTGGGAATACGCCGCGTTACATATACTGGGACCGCAATGTCCATAAATATCTCTCGAAAGGGACATAGTCCCAACGGTATCCTCCAAAACCTCGCCGATATAGATAATACATAAATGTATCTCTCATTCATCAATCTCATGCATGAAACAATTCTATTACTTCTCAATGCATCAAAGAATGATATACCACATGCTTATGGTTTTTGAAAGTATTTTTGGGCTCACGTTGGCCCCTTATGCATTTTTGAAATATGGCTCATGTGAAATGTCAAAATGCTATATAACATGCTTTTAAATCATGTATAAACTAACATGAAGTATTCAAGAATATAACATCATGCTCGGTTTGCAACATAGCAATTTCTATATAAATCACTCAACAAATATGATTGGCTAAAGTTTCATCCCGCACCCTGAACTATATCGGATTATTCATGCCGCACCCTCAACTTTCATAAGGTCCATTTAGGTTCACAAACCATTAATGTTTTTTCGCCTAGAACTTTTTGCAGGTTACCCAGTTATCATGATGACGTGGCACCGGTTATTAGCTGATGTGTACTTTCTTTTGTGTTGTAGTGGACCCTATATTCCTAAATAAATCATTTTAGATTGGTTTCTTCATCAAGAACAAACTTCCTCTGGGCAATTACGCTTGATTTTTTTTCTCGTTCTTGCTCAATAATTTGACGGTGGCGTGCACGGCGGAGGAGACCAGAAGACTTCATGGCCTCATGGGGCATATGGCCATTGGAGAACAAGTTGAGAGGTAAGTTATGTAAAGGGAGGGAAGAAGAAGATGGTACGTGGATATATATGTAGGCAAACCATTTGTTGCGGCGGCTTCCACTTCCGACGGTGGCTCATTCACCGGGCGGCGGCTCTTCCTCATGCAGTAGCAATCTTTCATAGGTTGCATGGACGATATTCATGCAATGACAGAAATATTCATGCTAAATAGTTCTATCAGAATGGTTAGACAAGGTTTCATACTTTCATTATGAACAGGGGAGCTAAAGGTGTTTATGCACATTTTTAAGCGCCCAGAGCTTACCTTAAAAAACAAAAACAAAAACAATAAAAAAAATAAAAAACAAAAAGTTTCTATTGATAAGTAAGCACAAAATGAAATGAGTATGTAAATGCTCATCGAGTGTAAAATAATTATCCAATAAATTGTTCAGGCGTATTGCGTGTGTGTGTGTGTATATATATATATATATATATATATATATATATATATATATATATATATATATATATATATATATATATATATATATAGAGAGAGAGAGAGAGAGAGAGAGAGAGAGAGAGAGTTAATGCCATTTGAAGTCCCCCGAGTATAGTGATTTTGTCACGTTTAGTCCTAAACTTTCAATTTGACCATTTGTAGTCCTTCGACTTTCAAATTTAACCATTCGTGGTCCAAGTTAACCACCTCCTTCAAGTTTTGAAATTTAACCAGTCGTGGCCCTCTTGAAAGGACCATGGTTGGTTAAAATTTAATAGTTGAAGGACCATGGGCGGTAAACTTAGACCACAGATGGTTAAATTTGAAAGTCGAAGGATCACAGATGGCTAATTTGAAAGTTTAGGACTAAACATGACAAAACCACTATACTCGGAGGACCTCGGATGGTAATAACTCTATATATATATATATATATATATATATATATATATATATATATATATATATATATATATATATATATATATATATATATATATATTGCAAACTGGCAACTTTATGAATCTGAAATGTACTTTTTGCCAAGGAAATGATATATACCATTAAACGCCCAAACATATCCCAATTTATGTGTATCTACATGAGATGATCTAAGATCTAAACAAACCTCAACTAGGACATTTTTACTCAGGAAACAATGTTGTCGTTAAGGGAAAGTCAAGCATGTTTATCAGCTAAGCTTTTAGCCTGCTCAACGTTCCATTGAACTTCCATCGTATCAGCAGCTTTCGTCTTAAATGCATCTGGTAATTCAAAAAGATGAAAACCTCTGTCTCGTCCATCTCAAGAATCAAGCAAGAATTTTGAAGCTATGCAACTGCAGCCAGCCAGCCACTACCGTCGGAAGTGGAAGTCGCCGGAAGCTATGCAGCAGCAGCGCTGGAGAAGGTGTTAGAAAAAGAAGAAAAAAAAGTCCAAGTTAACGTAAATTACCTGTAACCTGTAGGTAACTTGTGAAAAATGCTAGATGGAAAAAAGTTAATGGTTTGTGAATCTAAATGGACCTTATGAAAGTTCAGGGTGTGGCATAAATAATCCGATATAGTTCATGGTGCGGGATGACAAAATGATCCAACCAAACGATGGAATAGGTCTATTCCAAGAAAAGAAATGTTATTCCATTCCTGACCTATTCAATGAACCAAACATGCCATAATAGTAAATATGAACACAATTGAAATGTACTCATTCTTCAATATCAATTTTTTTCTTCTTCTCAAAAGATGAATCTTCAATATCATAACTATATATCAACTTAATCACACTTCAAGCAATGGAAATTATATATTAATAACAAGTACTTAAGTAAAAAATAATGGCACTATACAATATAATCGTGATCACTTATCATCAAATCTCTAAACATTCCAATTCAATAAAAATTAAAAAAAAAAAAATCAACAAACGGCATTATTACTAGAAATTCAAAATGACCATGGTCTTTTGTCGGCAAGTATCTAACACTTGAATACATAGAATTTTAATCATTAGAGGTATGCTTGTTATTTCTTTTTTATACGGAGTAATAAATATGAAAGTTGTTAAAATATAATGAACATTATTTCATTTGCCTAGTCAGTAGTCACCAAACACAATAGGTCAATAGTAATGGCTACGTAATATAGGAAAACTATGGGGAAATTCATTGACATTTGACCAAAATGCACATAGTAAACCGAATTCCACCGGAAAATCCAACCGGAGTACTAAAACTAGGAGCCGGCCGGTTGGCCGGTTTCAATTCAATCAGTTTCATGACACATTCACACATCAATATAATTATGCTTTTAGCTTTTAATTTGTTTTTATTAGTAAACACGCCATATTGCCATGCCACCTTTTCTTCATCTAAAAACTTTGGGTTTTAAGTACAAAGTCCAAAGACTAAATCAAAAACAGGAGACTGAGAAAGAGAAACTTCTTAGAAGTTAGAACCATACATCCACCACCCACAAAAAGAAGAGAAAACAAATTAAACAAGATTGAGTTGTGGGTAGTATATAATGGTCACCCTCTTGGCCTCTTCCTCTTTATCAATCAACCAATTAAGCAGGTCCAGTTAGAGGGCTACCTAACAACAACAATAATATATGCTGCCGGAGGCCTTCATGCAGGGTGGTGGTGGTGCCACCAAGCTGTGGGTGGTGTGGGAGCAAGCAAGGGCGGCAGTGTTGATTGCGCCATTTCTTAGGGTGATGGTGTGGGTGTGCTTGGTAATGTCAGTGATGATACTGGTGGAGAAAGTTTACTTGGGAGTGGTTTGTGCTTTCTTGAAGCTTTTCATGAGAAAGCCAGAGAAGCAGTACAAGTGGGAGCCCATGATGAAGAAGAAGAAGAAGAAGGAGGAGGATTTAGAGGTTGGAGGAGACTTGGATTACCCTATGGTTCTAGTTCAAATACCAATGCGCAACGAAAAAGAGGTAATATATCTTGCACTTCATTTCTAATATTTCACTGGTATCTGTATTCTGCAGGATAATAAGATATAATTTCAGTGAGGGCTTATTTTGTGACGGTTATATGTTCTTCCTAGGATATTATTATATAGATGGTAATGGGTCAGAGTGGGTCGGAGATGGCTATATCCACCTTCCCGATCCACTTAATATTTTACCCAATCTATAGTGAGTCAGTAGTTTGTACCTATCACTTATTATCCCATTAAATTATTTTTTTAAAAGTAATATTTAAACTAATTACACATAATAAAATAATAAAATTCACTAGTTAAGTAGTTATTATATTAAAATATAATAACTAAATTGTAATTTTTAAAAAAATAAACTTAATAATTTAGAATAAACTATATACTATGAAGTAGTATTTATTTTACCAGTATTAATTATCATCATGAGTTTAATTTTTTAAGACTCATCACTCACTGACTAGGGACAATCGTCATTATCACCCAAACTCAATCAATGTAAGCTGGATATCTGTGGGGCTGATGGAAATTGTCATCTCTGATCTATGCATGTGGATAAGGGGATTGACACTCCCAACTTTAGCGCACAATGCTAAATAAATAATGCACGGTTTCTTTGTGTATATGTAGGTATATCAACTGTCCATTGAAGCTGCTTGCAACCTTTCATGGCCGGCAGATCGAATCATAGTTCAAGTTCTTGATGATTCAACTGATCCTGCAATTATGGTATTTATCAAAAGACACAAATTTTAGGACAAGCAACATTATGATTATTATTACAATGGTTTGTTACCGTTTATGATTATGGCTCAAAAATAGTTAGTGTCTTGGGTTTTTTTCTAAAATGTTGATAATAATAACAATAAACAGGCTTTAGTCCAGCAAGAGTGCAGAAAATGGGCAGGTAAAGGGGTGAACATAAAGTATGAGACTAGAGATAATAGAAAAGGGTTCAAAGCAGGATCCCTCAAGCAAGGAATGAAGCATAGCTATGTTAAGCTGTGTGAGTATGTGGCAGTTTTCGATGCAGATTTCGAACCCGACCCTGATTTCTTGTGCCGGGCCATCCCTTTCTTGGTGCACAACCCTGAAATTGGGCTTGTTCAAGCTCGTTGGAAATTCGGTATTAAATTTCAGCTTCTCTTCATATATATATATATATATATATATATATATATATACACTTCAAACTCACTTAATTGTGCAGTTATATGGCAGTTATGCTTGCATAGTGTTTTGTGTTTGAAATGGCAGTCAATTCTGATGAGTGCATGCTGACAAGAATGCAAGAGATGTCAATGGATTACCATTTCACAGTGGAGCAAGAAGTTGGGTCTGCAGTCCATGCATTTTTTGGCTTCAATGGTATGTACATTATATGTACACACATATATACCTGCATCAAATACGAACACAAATTATATCGTGGACCACAGTCTACCTTGCACTTTGGTTCAAAACGACATTGTTTTTGTCTAGAAACTCAAAATTTAGTTTAATGTTCAAAAACTACAGATTATATGTTCAAAAGTTCAAAGATTAATGTTCAGAAAATAAATACTATATGTTCATAAACTTAAAGCTTATTGTTCATAAATTAGATTCTACAACATTTACTCTATTACATGTTCATAACATGTCTTATACATCTTTAGAAACTCAAAGCTTAATGTTAAAAACATAGACACTACATGTTCAGAAACTCAAAGATTAATATTTAGAAACACGTTAAACGTTATGAAACGTTGTCATTTAACACCAGGTGTATCTTGGTTCACGGTATAACTATTGAAATACCAATAATAAGGAGGTAATAAAATGTAAAAATGTGAATGCAGGAACTGCAGGGGTATGGAGAATGTCAGCATTGAATGATGCAGGAGGATGGAAGGACCGTACAACTGTGGAAGATATGGATCTGGGTTGCAGAGCTGGTCTAAAGGGCTGGAAATTTGTGTTTCTTGGTGATGTCAGGGTAAAATGCTTGCTTCTTCAGTAAATTTTTTTTTACCATCCTCATTCGCAATCGGAGTGGCCCAATTAAGGGGTAAAATGCAAAGTGCTGGCCAGATTTGTTTTTCCATACAAGAGGGAGTTCGAACTCCAAACCTCTCTTAAAGGATGAGAGTGCACAGCCACTCACGCCAACCAAGCCGGTTTTTCAGTAAATTTATTCACATGAAAATTGGAGATTGATCAAGATTTTGATGAACATAACAATGCGGAGTAATGAATTATATATAGGTGAAAAGTGAATTACCAAGCAGCTTCAAGGCATACAGATACCAGCAGCACAGGTGGTCATGTGGCCCTGCCTTTCTTTTCAAGAAAATGGTCATGGAGATAGTGACAAGCAAGGTAGAAACACATACAAGAACAAACCACTCAATAATCTTAAACATGTCAAAAACTTGAAATTAAAATGTTAGTTTATGCAAGCAACTTTTGAGTGAGTTATTGATTCATTTGACTCTAAACACTTGTAGAATGTCTCGGTATGGAGGAAAGTGTATATGATATACGCCTTTTTCTTTGTCAACAAAATCGTCGCGCATATTGTCACCTTCGTCTTCTACTGCCTTGTTCTCCCTGCAACTGTTTTGATCCCAGAGGTCAAAGTTCCCCTTTGGGGTGCTGTTTATATCCCTTTAGCTGTGACACTTCTCAATGCACTGCCCTGTCCAAGGTAACCAACCCTCTCTTCTCTTTTGTTTATTCCTTAAAAAAAAAAAAAGTTTTTCTTAATGAATTTCTTGTGTCTTTTTGCTGATTCTCAGATCATTCCATTTGGTGGTTTTCTGGATCCTTTTCGAGAATGTCATGTCCCTCCATCGGACCATTGCAACGTTCATTGGCCTTCTTGAAGTCGGGAGAGTCAACGAATGGATTGTCACTGAAAAGCTTGGCAATACCCTCAAGTCCAAAACAGGATCTAAACCTACACTGAAACTTCCTCGGTTTCAAATCGGAGATAGGTATGATTCTTGTTCCATAAGATTAAAATTAGAAACGGAAGGGTAACTCCAGTCAAGATGACAAAAGATCCACACTTGTAACTATAAGGTCACGAGTTTGAATTCTTGCCCTCCTTAATTTGAGCCGGTCAATTATTAGTCGTCTAGACTGGTTTAGTTCCTTTGTGCTCCTTTGCAGGTTAAAGTCACAAGGCCCGCTTGTAACCACAAGGTCACGAATTCAAATGTTTTCCTCTTTGATTTGAACTGATCAGCTACTAATAACTTAGGCTGATTTACTTCCTTATGGTTTTTTGCCTGTTAAGGTCACACAAGGCCGGGTTTCTTACAACGAAAAAGATTGTAAAGTTCCCTCGCCATCCAAAAAAAAAAAAAAAAAGTAGAAAAGAAAGTAACTTTATCTGATCTTGTTGATGTACAGGTTGCATGTTTTGGAGATCATTGTTGGATTGTTTCTCCTCTTCTGTGGATCCTGCGATTTCTGTTTCGGAAAGAACCGGTTCTATGTGTACCTATTTCTCCAAGGCATAGCATTCCTAGTCATTGGAATTGGTTATATTGGAGTATTTGTTACAGCTTAGTTCAGTTGGGAACATCTTTTGATTGTGTAATTTCATTCTGGAGTTCCAATTATTCTTTATAATCTTATCTTATACATAATTAGGATTTTTTATGCGCGATGCGAAAAAAATGTGCCCAATATTAATATTTTATATTAAAATTTTAAATTTATTTAAATTATAAATATTTAAATTATTGTAAATAATAATAATAATAATAATAATAATAATAATAATAATAATAATAATAAGAATGTAAAACATTTCTATAAATTTTATATTTATATTTTAAGAAATAACCAACATATAACTCCAATATAGAGTTAATACCCAAAATTGTCCCTGACTATAGTGGTTTTTCTCAATTTCGTCCTAAACGACTTTGTTGACCTAATATAGTCCCAGACTTTTGTGTTTCGCTCAATTTAATCCTCTGTTTGTTATTTTGTCAAATTGGCGTTAAATAAAATGACAATTCAATAATATCAATATTGACCTCTCTTTACTTTCAACCTGCGAAGTGAGAAATCGCTCTTTCTTGCACAAATTACACCCAGAATTACTCCTAGACTTACGAATCAAATTTTTATATTCGGAGATTTAGGAGTGATTCTGGAAGTAATTCGCAAAAAAAGAGAGATTTCGCACTTCACATGTCTATGAGTAAAGATATGCCAATATTAAAATTACTGAATTGTCTATTTTTTTTTAACAACAAATGGATAGAATAACAAATGGAGGACTAAATTGAGCAAAAATACAAAAGTTTGAGACTAAATTGAGTAAAAATACAAAACTCTGGACTACATTAAGTCACCAAAGTCATTTAGGACAAAATTGAAAAAAACCACTATAGTCGATGACGATTTTGGGTATTAACTCCTCCAATATATAATGTGTATATTATTATTATTGAAAATAAGAAAATATATGATGAACGCATGTGCATGGTAGCAATAGTGGAAAAGATAACGGAAGTTGTAACGGTATGGTATATTTGTCCAAAATATTGTATAATACAGTATTTATAGCATAATTATCATAAAATTTAACGGAAAAAAGGGACATAAATAAAGGGTATAACCTTCATCCACACTTATTATGTTTTTAGATAATAAGAAAAAGAAAAGAACACTTTTAATCCTTGAATTGTTTTAATTTTGAAAATTTAATCCATGTAAATTAATTTTAATAAATTTAGCTCTTCAATTACTCAAAATGTTACACTTTTAACCCCTAATGTTATATGATTGTCAAACTCCATTAACATATGTGGTTATTTTTATTATTTAAAATTAATATTCACTATTAAAAATAATGTTGCCAGGAGAGTAAAACTTTAATCATGAATATTAATGTTAAATAACAAAATTAACCTAATAAAAAGGATCTTAATTGCTAACGAAATTTGATAATTTTATAACAGGGGCCTACAAGTGTAACATAATAAATATTTAAGGGACTAAATTTGGTCAAATAATTTTAACATTAACTAAATTTTTAAAAATAAAATAATTTAGCAACTAAAAATGTTGTTTTTCCTAATAATAAAGATGGTGATAATTATTATATTTTGTATAAGAATTGGAAAGAGATAGAAATGAATAATCAAAGGACAAGATGCATACAGACAGAATGCAAACTGTAATATTGTTTATAATTCTATAACAATCTAAAATCTCCCAAAGGTTCCATATAATTCTATAACAATCTAAAATCTCCCAAAGGTTCCATAAAATGATTAGTTTATTGCCATTTAAAAGTATCCCATACAGTAATCAATCTTCTAATATTCGAAAGTCTCCATTTCAATCTTCAATCAGACTTTCATTTTCTTCCCATCCAAAAAACACATTCTTAATTACAAAAACCACAAAGCTTTTAGAATGACACTTTATTGACAAAACATTATAGGAAGAATCACTCAAGTTCTAATTTGTTTTTGAAGTAAGAATTTGAAAAAGAACAAAATCTAAAAATTTCCGAAAAACCTACCTCTTTAAAGAATGATCATTTCAACAGATTAATGAAGACGCGATGAATGAACAATTCTCGTTGATTCAGAATAGACTGTTACAGAGATAGATAATAGATAGAGAACTAATCTAACTAACCCTGTACAATAGCTAATGGTTACGAGACTAATTCAAACTCTATAAGTCTAAGTCTAATGTTACAATAACTGTATCAATAATATAATATGACTAACACACCCCCTCAAGCTGAAGGTGGTAACGAGACAACATTTAGCTTGTCCCGCAAAGAAGCGAAGTGTGTAGATGCAAGAGGTTTGGTGAAAATGTCGGCCAGCTGATCTTTGGTTGACACAAAGTTAACTAAGAACTCCCCCGAAGAAACCTTGTCTCGAACAAAATGGTAATCGATCTCGACATGTTTTGTCCGAGCGTGAAAAACCGGATTGGCGCACATGTATGTAGCCCCTAAATTGTCACACCATAGTGTGGCAGGTGATCCGGAGTGCAAACCGAGTTCCCGTAGGAGGGACATAACCCATGTGACCTCAGCAGCCACATCTGCCAGACCCTTGTACTCTGCCTCAGTGGACGATCTGGCGACGGTGCGTTTCTTCCGTGATACCCATGACACAAGATTCGTGCCCAGAAAAACTGCATACCCGCTAGTGGACTTCCTGTCAATTGGACATCCTGCCCAGTCAGAATCTGAGTAAGCGTGTACAGTGGATGACGACGAAGCAGTTAGCCGTAGGCCATAAGTTAATGTACCCCTGACATATCGAAGTACCCGCTTGAGCATACCGCAGTGCTCCTTAGTTGGCGCATGCATGAACTGACATAGCCTATTTACAGCAAAAGACAGGTCTGGCCGAGTGATAGTGAGATACTGTAGTGCCCCAACTAGCCTACGATATTGCGTCGGGTTCTCATAAGGAGCTGTAGACGGTGAGGCGGCTTTAGTGATTGCCGCTGGTGTAGAGAGAGATTTGCAATCCACCATGCCGGCACGAGTCAGAATGTCATCCATGTACCGACGTTGCGAAAGTAATAAGCCCCCATCAATAGGTACTGTCTCAATGCCAAGAAAGAAGGTCGGAGTACCCAAATCCCTAATCTTGAAAACCGCCGAGAGACGGCCTAACAGCGTGGTCAGTAGGGCGGAATCATTGCCCATCATGATGATATCATCTACATATACCATTAGATAGATACGAGAGGTTTGTACTGTATAATAAAAGAGAGAAACATCAGTTTTAGACGCCACAAAGCCTGTAGACAGGAGAAATTCATGTAACCGATGAAACCAGGCCCTGGGGGCTTGCTTAAGACCATACAGGGACCGCTGTAGATGACACACGTAGTCAGGGTGTACCGGGTCTTCATACCCAGGTGGTTGCCGCATGAAAACAGTCTCCGTGAGCCGCCCATTTAAGAAGGCATTGTGGACATCTAGCTGCCGCAGTGTCCACCCATGAGAGACGGCAAGGGAGAGCAAGATGCGCACTGTAGTCGGCTTGACGACCGGACTAAAGGTCTCAAAAAAGTCCTCGCCGGCTACCTGATTGAACCCCTTGGCAACCAAGCGGGCTTTATACCGGTCAACAGTCCCGTCAGCCTTACGTTTTGTGCGAAAGACCCACTTGCACCCTACTACATTCATGCCAGGTTTGGCCGGGGTGAGATTCCAGGTGTTGTTGTGTAGGAGAGCATTGAACTTATTGAACTCCTGATCCATGGCATCACGCCAGTGTGGGTATCCAACTGCCTGACTGTAGCATGTAGGATCTGCGGTGGCCGTGAGAGCTTGAAAAGGCTCCTCCGTACCCCGTGTCATGTGGCGAAGATGCATGACATGTCCCCCTTTCTTGTGGCTGTGCCCGAACGCGTGCCCGAGCCCGTGGTGCACGAACTGGGACCGTGGCAGCACCTTGATGATCCTGAATAGCCAAGGGCGGTACATGCACTGCTATAGGTGGTTCATCAAGCGGAACCGGGGGTGGTTCACGAGGCACTATGGGGCCTGATGCCCACGGCGTGGCATTATGTGAGTCAATTGACTCCACTTTGCTTTGTGCACCTGTTGCATAGGGGAAAACATTTTCATCAAATCGAACATGGCGACAGATGAAGGTTTTTCCAGATATTAAATCCATGCACCGGTAACCCCTATAGGACGTTGGGTAACCTAAGAAGACGCAGGGTGCGGAGCGGTACTCTATCTTATGGCGATTATACGGCCGTAGATAGGGATAACACTTGCACCCGAAGACTCGAAGAAAGTTATATGGTGGTGTTTTGTTAAAGACGGACTCATAGGGACTGACATTTTTAATTGCAGAGGATGGTAGGCAATTAATTAGAAAGGAAGCAGTTTCGAACGCATATGCCCAGTGTTGTATGGGTACTGAGCTTTCTGCGAGTAGGGCTAGCCCGGTTTCAACAACATGTCTGTTCCGGCGCTCTACTCGGCCATTATGCTCATGCGTATAGGCACAAGACTGCCTATGCACAATCCCAAGACTTTCAAAGGTATTGTGTAAACGGCGATATTCGCCTCCCAAATCAGATTGAACAAACTTGATAGAACGTGAGAATTGGCGTTCTACCATGACTCTAAATGACTCGAATATTTTATAAATGTCTTATTTTAATCGCATCGGGTAAAACCAGCAAAAACGGGTACAATCATCAACAAATAGAACGAAATAGCGAAATCCATCGGCTGAAACAACGGGGGCCGGTCCCCAGATATCGGTGTACAATAAATCAAGAATATTATTACTACGTGAATTAACTCTATCTAACGGGAATCGAGAGGATTTCCCGAGTTGACACGACGAACATATCTTCGTAGCACTTGTTTTGGACGGGGTGACCGGACAATTGATTAAGACACGACGCTGAGCACGCTCATGCGGATGGCCAAGCCTGCGGTGCCATACATCCGGTGTGGCACGAGCGGTTATTAACGCAACTGGTGACCGAGACAACGACAAACCGTAGAGACCCCCCATGGTAGGACCTCTAAGAAGCACCGCCTTGGTTCGACAATCCTTCACAAGAAAATGATCACAATGAAACTCAAAAAATACGTTAT